TCAGGTAATACCAATTCTACAATAAAAATTTGTTAAAACTTATATAAATATTTTAAAACTGATTTTTTTTATTTAACTTACCAAATTTTCGTTTAGACATATCAATGAAGAGATAAAATTTATTGAAATAGAAAGGAATATTTTATTAATAATTAAAGAATTTATTTGATTTTTTTCCTGTAAAGGATGACTTCTATAACAAGAAGATAAAAATGAGAACAATACATAGTTATTTGTCTTAAATAACCATTTATATTGAACAATCGCAAAAAAATCTTTTTATTTAGTAATCAATCAATCGAACTAACTATATGTAGCTCAGCCTGATTGATTTATGCACATATAAATCATTGATATTTTTAATGAATTAATAAGAGAAAATTTTTTATATAAATTCATTTAAATCATATTGATATTTTTAACAAATTATAATAAATTTCGAAACTTTATATAGCTTATTTATTATTTATGGTTATTTATATATAGTTAGTTTATTTTATTGAATAGTTTATTTTATTGAATAGTTTATTTTATTGAAATAGTTTATTTAACATTATTTATATACACTAAAATTTCATTTTCGCGTTTTATCACAAAACAAAACAAATAAATAATATAATCAAAAAAAATTTACCATGTAAAAAGCTTCTCTCTTCTCACACAAACTATTCGAAAATAATACCATCTTTGACATATATATATTATCTCAAAGTGAATAAAATTACGTATTAATAATAGAACTCGCAACTTTTTTTCTTTTCTATTTCATGATAGCACTCTTAACAATGAAACGTACAAGAAAAATCACTCATATACATACATTAGTTCCAAAGTTACGTACTAGAGCATCTAAACAAATACGAAATGAAGAAGAATATAATAAAGTGGAAGGCATCACCTCATACAATAATACTTCAGAACATATAGAAGGCGTTGCCTTTCACTTTGAGAATAATATTGTATCATCTTATGGTAATACCTCTGAACATATAGAAGGCAATATAATCTCAAATTTTCAGGAAGAGGACTTACTAGGCTTAACTATTGAAGAAGCTGTAAATTCACTAAATTATAATCATGTTCCATTAGAAATACGGAAAAACGAGGTTAGTATGTAAATGTTTAAATTATAATTTATCAAAAATAATTTTATACATAACTATTTTTTCTTTTCAAGGATCCTATTCAGCAAATTGAGTTTTCCTATAGACCATTACTTAGAGTTTTTGAAGAAGACGATGACAATGATGATGATGACAATAATGATAATAAACCAGAAATTTTAGAAGATTACGATCTGTTAGAGGGAGAGTCTTTTGGCTTTAAGGGTTTTAATGGCAAATATGGTCTATACTTTCCAAATTTTACGTCGGCAATGCTCTTTGTATGGATTACAAAGCATATGATTTGTAAGTTTATTAATTATTTGAGATCAAATGAATTTATTAGAAATAAAAATTATTAATATCTAATTAATCGTAGCAACATCTGCATATGAAGATCTTGCCAAGATTCTTACACATCCTGAGTATCAAAAAGAAGATGTTACTATGAATGTTTGTCAGATTCGTAAATGGAGAGATCGGTTACCTTTAGCTAAAATACGCAAATATGATGTACCTATTTGTATGCAACAAGTACCATCCACATGTGAATCTTCTAAAAAGGTCTTCACTATTCCCCATTAACACACTTAGAACGTATTTTAAATAATCTAGCGCTCGTACTAAAGATGTATTTTGGACCTGGGATAGTTACAGATGAGAAGCGAGAGTTTTGGTATAGTGAACTTTGGCAAGATTCACCGTTATTCAGAGAATATGAAATAAAAAATAATAATAAAGGTCAGTCATATATTTTGTAAATTTTAAATTTAAACTAAAAAATAATAACCAAATTTTTATTTAGTATACAAAGCAGGAGATTTTTTAATATATCGAGAACAATCCTCAATGTTTATAT